ATCTTGTTTTGTTTTTTCCCTCCCCCTGGATTGTGAGCCGCCCTGAGTCCCCTCAGGGAAAAGGGCGGCATATAAATAAAGTTAAAATCCAAAAATCCAAATCCAAAACTGGGGCCAAAGTTTATGGGACCATTCCCCATAGTAAAGATCAGCAACCCAATCACAGTGCAATTGAAACTACCTCGATTGTTGGGGAAGATATACCCAGTGTTTCATAATAGCTTCTTAAAGCCTGTGATTGGATCCACCCTGAGACCACTACCCTGGGAGCCCCTGGGCCCTATGGTTATAGGGGGCCAAATCCATTATGAAGTTAAATGAATCCTCGAGTCAAGGTGGCACAGGAGACAACTCCAATACTTAATCAAGTGGAAGGGCTACCCATTATCGGGGCATCATAGGTGAAAAGTAGAAATATCCAGGCTGATCGACTCATAGCAAAGTTCCATGCAGAAAATCCAAGCAAGCCTGGGGGAGGGACACATCCTTAAGTTATATACCTGTACTCAAACTGTGTCACACAGGTTGCTTTCAGGAAGTGAGGGGAGCCGGATGTCAACTTCTAAAGCATTGCCATGACTATTATCAGGCTGTCATGGAAGGGGAAATTCCATGTATGACTTCAGCCGGAGTCGGATCGCATGTCTACAGCCTAGTTGGAGAATATGAGTTATGACGCAGGATAGAAGGGAGGGGATACAGAGGTAAAGTTCAAAAGCAATTAAGTGTAAGCAGTTTTGGTTCCACAGGAGTCCACATCAGAATGTTGATACTAATAAATGATTGGATTTCTTTTGAACTTTGTCTCGAGGCTCCCAAATTAATTAGGTCATCTTCTGGGAACTTCACATCTCTCTTGTGTCTGTAGTGAATAGAAAGGGATTTTATCTTCTGTATGTGTTTGCCTATATATAGTTGTAAATAAACCACTTGTTAATTGTCTTAAAGACTCTGTGCGCTATGTTATTGCTACTTGGTGTATCACATAAAGTCATGTTGGCAAAACTCTGACAAAATATGAAGTTTNAGATATTGAAATACTGCTGTCATGTCAACACTAGTTCTTCTTTTCATTAAACTAGACACACCCAATTCCTGCAACCGTTCTTCATATTGTTTTAGCCTTTATCATCTTTACCCTAATCATCTTTGTTCTTCTCTGGACTCTTTCTAAAATGTCAATATCTTTTTTTTTTGGGTAAAACTTTGATTATTTGGTTTTGGACACCATCTTGATGTTTTCATCCCTCTTACCTGGCTCTACATCCATCTAACTATGTTCATCTACAGAGTAAATTGCTTTATGTGTGGATATTCTCTACTTGAAATATTCTTCTAGCTTCTTCCCACCATCAGTGCCATGTACATATCCCTCTCAATTTCTCCTTTTCCTACAAAGAAATACTTCTTGGCTATCCTATTGGATACTGCTATTGGATAAGCCTGTTTTTATTTGTGAGAACCTTGTATATGGCACATTCTGAAAAAATAAGCATAGGTATCTTGGCTTCCTTCCTCATCTATTAATACGCAATGATTGACATCTTTCCTACCCTTGCTTTCCATAGCTTGGGATAAGATTATTTTCATACTGAATTTCAAAAGCTGCAATTTAATTATTCGATCCAACTGAACTCATGTAGGAAGCCAATCTATGGTGGCAGCAAGGATCCAGGTCAACTTGGTAAAGAATTTTTGGTGTTCTGATTTGATTCTGCTTTTCACAGGCAGGACCAAAAGTATCAAAAAAGTCAAGATGGCACCAACGCAAGTGTTGCCTTTCTTTCCCTCTCTTTTTAAAAATAGGGTGGGACTTTAATCTGGCAAAGAGCATGTTGACATTTTTGAATGAACACCCCCCCCCACTGCTGATACTTTCATTTTTGTTTTGATTTTTATATGTATCTATTATTTCTGTTCTCCTGGGGTATTAAATTAAGAACCAGCGTTGTAAATATACAAATGCTCAAGTCTCCATGTCAACTTTGAAAAAGGAAAATGCATGTTGACATTTGGAAAAAAGGATTTAAATAAGCAAATGTTTGTGACAGAGAAAAGGTGATCATCAAGTGAAAGCGCAAGTAACCCCCCCCCCTCTTTTCCTATTATACTGATAACAAATGCTATAAGAGAGAGCAGTAATCAAACATCAAGGATGTACTAAATGCACAGAGTGGAGAGGCGGCATGGCTGAGCAGAAGTACTTTATGAAATAACCTGCAATCGAAGTTCTTGCCAAAAGCAGCTTTTAATGTTTAAAACACACCTTTGTAACACAATGATCACTTCTAGCCGCTGTGCCAGTAGAGATTCTCAATCATCCAGATCATGGTTGTCCCAAAGGTGCTTTTCTAAAAGGCAACCAGATTTTTTTTTCCTTGGAAATATTTAGCTTCTCATCTTTTAGAAGCTCTTCAGTTCTTGCATGAGAAGCAAAACGTTTTTGAAGAAAAAAAAAAACCAAAACAGTCAAATTACCTCTTGGAAAAAGGAATCTTTAGGACTTCTGCCCCCTGTGCATCTGAGGTTGGAAAAAAAGTTTGTTTTTGTTTTATTAACTTATTGTTTTGCACAATTAAATTAATGATCTTATTTCTGGATGCAATATGACCAAGCGATGGGGGTGGGGGTGTCCAGAGGTACTTCATGAGAAGAGTACTCCACTCCTCTACTCACAATAGAATTCCCCATGCCACCAGGCTTGAAATTTTGGGCTTGGACAATCTGGAACTGTGTCCCTCTGTGGTAAGATCTAAGCACAGTACACAAAATTGTCTTCTACAACATCTTACCTGTCAATGATGTCTTCAGCTTCAACCTCAATAATACATGGGCAAACAATCAATACAAACTCAAGGTGAACCGTTCCAAACTTGATTGCAAAAAATATGACTTCAGCAACAGAGTGGTCAACGTCTGGAATGCTCTACATGACTCCGTTGTTACATTTTCTAACCCTTACAACTTCAACCTTAAACTGTCTACTGTGGACTTCACCCCATTGTTAAGAGGTCCATAAAAGGAGCATGCATAAGCGCACCAGCGTGCCCTACCATCCCTGTCCCCATTTATTTTTATTCATTTCTTTCGTTCATGTCCATGTCTATATTTATACCTGCTATCTTGTACTTGTTTGACAAACTAATAAATACAAATATAAACTAAGAGTGAGAATTTAAAATGTGGGGGAAATTATGGAGTCTGGAGAATCCAGTAGGAGAGCAAATATTCAGTCCTGAGGATGTTCCTTTCATGACTTCTTCACACTTCCTGAAACACAGGGGTGTGTACATAGGACATGGGGCATCTTGTCAAAAGTAGAGACATAAGCAGGAGTCTTATTTTTTTATTCATTTCTTTATTTCTCCCCTGTTTTCTTCTGATGGGAAGCTGGATTTGTCAAGCCTCCTTCTTATAGGAAAAAGAAGATTTCCTTTCTTTCATCCTTTCCCCAACTATGGGGCTAGACCTGTCAGAGATACAGGTGTTATTTTGCACCATGTGAATTTTTTAAAATAAACTTTATCTATTTGTTCAAGAATCTGTTTTTTTCATTCTTTGTAATGGTCTTGGTTCTACCCACATGCACATGGTCTGCTGAATACTAGTGAATGGACCATTCAAGTCCAACCAGGCCTATCTAAGAATTGATAACCAGTGGTGGGATTCAAATAATTTAACAACTGGTTCTCTGCTCTAATGACTGGTTGGGGTGGTGGCAGCCATGGTGGGTGTGGCCAAGGGTGTGACAGGCAGCACTCAGCCTCCTACACCCCCTTGGGAGCAAAAATGGGCTGCGGGAGGGGGCACCCACCACACCCCATTTTGGGCCTAGTAGGCCTCCCTGCACTTACCTGGAAGCTAAAATGGGCTGTGTGAGCAGGAAGGGGTGGGGCCAGCCAGCAATTTAACAACTGATTTGCCTGAATCAGCTCCAACTGGCTGAATCCCACCACTGTTGAAAACCTAGGAAAAGTATTATTTGCTATTTTTTCTTTCTCTAAAGTTGATGCAGCCAAGGTGGAAAAGAAATGCTATCAAAACCACACAATCGCTCCCTATATATCTAGAGGTACAAAGATATTTTGAGCAGGAGGGGACAAAAAAAAAGAGCATGGCCTTTATAATTAATAGACCGCAACCTTGCAATATACAATAGGAGAGAAACTACTGACTTAGATGCTTTTAAAAGCATTGGAGAAATGCTTATCCTATGCTTCCATTCTAACAATGGAAATAAATGTCCTGCTAACAATTTTTTAAGAGAACATACAGTATCTCTATCCATATTTGGAAAAACAGCTATGAATAGGCTGCCTATATTAGAAGCCAGATTTCTTTGATTCACAGTTAGAACAATTAATCAGTGGAACAACTTACCTCCAGAAGTTGTGGGTGCTCCACAACTGGAGGTTTTTAAGACGAGATTGCTTAGCCTTTTGTCTGACTAGGTATAGGGCTTTCCTCTGGAGCAGAAATGGAAGGATTTATACTCCTTGCAGACAGCTGGTCATTTGCATTCTTTTAGCGAGTCATTGAGGCCACCTGGACATATATCTGCATCCTCAAAGTCATGACAACACAGATAAACCTTCAACTGGCCTTAAAGACTCACTAAAAAGAATGCAAATGACCAGCTGTCTGCAAGGAGTATAAAATTTTCCATTCCCCACCATCCAGTCAGAGCTGAAGAAGCTTCTTGGATGAGAACTGAAACGTCTTCAAAGAAAAACCAGAAAGTCCAGTTGCCTCTTGAAAAAAGCACCTTTGGGACAACCATGACCTAGATGACTAAGAATCTCCACAGACTTGACTCTTACACTTGTGGTCCATGACATTTGGACAAGAAATGTCAATGCTAAAATACTGATTCTCCTAGGACAGGGGTCAGCAACCTGCGGCTCTGGAGCCGCATATGGCTCTTTCATCCCTCCGCTGAAGCTCCCTGTCACCAGGCGGCTCCACAATTGATAGGGCTTTCAGTTAGAAGAGGTAGAGGAAAAAAGATGCTGCTCTAGGAGGAGACTCTATGGTGGGAGAACCAGACTTCAGTTACAGAATTAAATGAGGGGCTTCTGGTTAGGACCTTTGTGGCTCTTTGATTGTTTAAAGTTGGCAATATCTGTCCTAGGATAAAGATTTGCAGTTGATGATTGTGAGAAGCAGCAGCAAAGATATCCTCTACCACCCAAACGATCTAGTTTTTTCACCAGTGCAACTCACACTTACCTTTCCATAAAGCTTTGCCCACTGAGTGTAAAACATGTGCTTGCAGAGTCGTGAACAACTCCCACAGTTTTTTTTCCCTGTTGTGGCATTAATAAGCTCTAAGTCTGCTGTGCCTGCTATCCAATTCACACTGAAACCAGGAGATTTCCCAGCCTTTCTCCTTTCAGCGTTACTCACTCCTGTCAAAGTAGAAGCAGAAAACACCAAGCATTAAAAGCAGTAGGTTTGAAATATAAGAAACTTCCACTTTATTGGGAAGTAAGCTGTATTTCCATACCTATAAATACATCAATATATTCTTATCTATCTTAGCTGGAATCTCTTGGATCAATATATGCTTTTAAGAAGTGTTCAATTAATGTTGCCAAAATGTAATTAAGATTCTTGTTTTCATGTATACATTTTGACAGCCTTTGTACATATAAAATCACTGTCTCGTTGACAATCTCTGTTTTCTATGAGTGTTTCATATGGAGAAAATTCTAAATTAGGGCACATCAAAAATAAAGATAGCACGTATTGGTCCATGGGATGAGCAGATTCCAAATTTTGTAACAGAATAATATATGTAATGGGATCAACCAACATGACACACAAACGGGCAATCAGTTTTTTTTTCACTATGAAAAGTAACAGACAAAGCTATTTTGGTTGCCAAAGATTTTATGAGATTTCTTATATTTTCACTTTCTATTATTTTATTCTCATAGCCCAAATAAAGCTGTTAAACATTTTATTCAAAAATGATTTTAAAATAGGGCAAATACTCAATTTTTAAACTTTGTTTTTTAATTTTTAATTTTTATCCAACAACATTTAAATCTGTTTCAGAGGCATCACTGCATTACAGATTGTTAATAATTTTAACCTTGGTTTAATAAAATTAACAAAGAAATAAATAGCAAAAGAAAAAAAATACAGGATAAAGTATATAATTTCTCATTATTTTGCTACACCACAGATATTACATAGGTCTTTGTGAATGATGCAAAGGCAGTTCAAATAGTTTGATCTGGAAAATTAATCCAATTGTCAATGCACATCAATCTGGAAATTCAGTTCAATTCAATTTCTTCTGACTGAATCAATGAAACGGTCAGATTAGACTTGAATTTCAGAATCAATTTGGCTCAAGTTGTTTCTGTGCACGGATAGAAGCACCCAAAATCATCCATATCAATTCAAAACATCCAATTTGATGATACAAATTAAGTATCTAAGTCGATTCAGAAAGGCAATTTAATCTGGAGATTGAACTGACATGCCTTTAAATCAAGTCTCCAAATTAAATATCTGCATAGCTGAATAGATAAAGCAGCTTTGATATGTATGGGGATTAAATGAATTACAGGTACTGTGACATTGTATGCATTTGTATCAGTTAGAGGCAACTGGAAAATACCCTTGAAATGGTCGCTTATTAAAGATTTATTAAAAATCCTCTGTATTTCTGAGCTTCTATACCAGAAGGAGCCCATTTCCTTAGCTAAGTGGCAATATCCTAAGTGACTGTGTACAGATGAATCAAAATGAAAATATAATTGAGTTATTATTTCACACTGAACTTGTAATCACATTTATGTCATATTAATAGCAATCTCCATTTCTTCACTATGATAACTGATTGGTTCGTATTTTAGGGGGAATACACTATAAAGTAAATGTCGTTCTTACACCATGGCGCTATTTAAATACATCCATCTGAGAAATGTTGCACATAGATCTCACTGTATGACTTGACATGAATGTGTCAGCCTCTGTCAGAATTATGATCTAACTTAGTGGATAGTGTGCCAACCAATAACAATATGTGCCAGATAAGGCCTGCCTAGGATAAAGCCATAGGTAACAGAACAAACACAGATGCAGCAATCTAATGATCAGAAGAAAATAAAGCATTTGGTCGAATTAATAGCTTTTGTATGCAGGCACTACCAAGGATTTCAGAAGATAAAAGCTAAGCACAAATGGTCCCCAGATACTTCCTATCAAGAGATCAACGTTTCTGTTGGAAAATAAAAAGAAATGAAAGCTGAGAGAAGTTAAAGTCTGGTTGTTAATAAATATATTTGGTGAGCAGAGATTGCAGCATTTTTATCCCTTGTCTTCCAAATTTCATATTTTTTTTTTCGTGAATGTGGAGGAAGATTTAGGGAACTTGGAGAAATTAAATAGCAAAGCACTGTAGCAAAGTACTAACTCTAAGCTGTGGTAACAACCTCTAATCCTCTTCCTGAGGAGAAAATAATTGGTTTTAAATCTGGGAGACCTTTGCATCTCATCCATTTTTAACTCCATTGTATGTCCTTGGTTGGTAGGTCCCCATCTCTATCCCTGGCCTTACATTTCTGAAGTGTGAGCAATTAAAAAAAAAAGTATTCCTCAGAGGGCTGGAAAATACAATGGATTCTTTGCAAATTGAAAGTGCAATTGAAAATGATAACTTTTTGGAATGAACTGGAATAAGTCTTTAATGTATTGTATCAGAATAGATTACATATTGCTAATAGAGAGGACAAAAGAGAACACAAACCAGGAATTATTAATTAATAAGGAAGGATATCTAGCTCATGAGAGTTATTTTCTGGTCTTACTTTCCGGGTACTAATTGGTGGATCAAGACTCTTGTTCTCTTACTTTAGATCCTTTACCTTTTTTAAAAAAATCCAAAACATTTAAAGGCTAAATCTCTCTTGCCCAACTAGTGCAAACATTACCATGCAGGGAATGCCAAAGATCAGTACACTCAACAAATCTGGGGGCAGCACTAGAAAAAAACCTCTTCTGTTGAAATGCTAAAACAGGGCTCAGCAACCCACGGCTCTGAAACCGCATGTGGCTCTTTCATCCCTCTGCAGAGACTCCCTGTCGCTGGTCGGCTCCACAATTGTTAGGGCATTTGGTTATGACAGGTAAAGGAAAAAGGATGCCACGCTAGGAGGAGACTCTGTGGTGGGGGAACCAGACTTTCGGTCAGTTCCATAATAGCAGCAGTAGCAATAGCAGTAGACTTATATACCGCTTCATAGGNAAGCTCAGGATCAGGAGAAAACCAGAAGCATCACAGCGAGACCAGTTGGAAAAATAGCAGGCTCCAATGAGCTCTGTAAAAATCCAGCTGGACAAACTGCTGTTGGGGGATCTTCGGACCAGAAGAAGAAGGAAGAAGGAGAGACATCTCTGACAACCAAGAAGAACCGTCAAGTACCTCAGTAGGTCAGAGAAACCTTTTTTGACTAAATGGTATAAGCGGGGGCCTTTTCTAAATGTCTGCTCTGAAACTGGGGCAACCATATTAAGTTTTTGAGCAGGTGCGCTGTTGGAACAAATTTTGGAACTGGATGAGTGATTGGCCAATTCACAGGTAAAAGAAAACTTTGATTTTGGACTTTAAAAGGGTGTTGGAGCCGAAATTAGTAGCTAATTGGCATTTGGGAAACTCCATGGAGGAAGAAGGATAAAGTGGAGGCTAAAACACCAAAGCCGAAGAAGATTCTTGCTCTTATAATTGGATTTGGAGAAACTAAATATTATAAAAAGAAAGAACCCGGGAAAAGTTTTTTATAATGTGGATTTAAAGTGTTTTTGATAGTTTTGACAAATTAGCTGGTTTGACTGTATTATGGATTTAAGAGAACCATCTGCTGGGAAGAGAGTATTGCAATACTTGGTGGAAGATAGAATAGAAAATGCAGCTGGGAAAATTGGCCTTGACTATCAGAAAAGATAATTTGGAACTGTGAGAACTTTTAAGGAGTGTTTGTTTTTCTACATTGCTTGGTTTTGATTTTCTATAGCTGTGGAAGGTAATAAATTTTCGGCTTGGATTGGATTGGACCAATATTAGAATTAGACATTATAATCTGAAAATAAAAAAGACTGTATGGACTTTAAGTTCTAATTAAATGTGACCTAATTTAAAAATCTTAAAAGCAATTTAGAACTAAGGAGAAATTTCCTGACAGTTAGAACAATTAATCAGTGGAATAACATGCCTCCAGAAGCTGTAAATGTTCCAACATTGGACATTTTAAAGAAGATATTGGATAACCATTTGTCTGAAGTGGTGTAGGATTTCCTGCTTAAGCATGGGTTTGGATTAGAAGACCTCCAAGGTCCCTTCCAACTCTGCTATTCTAGTTCTGTTCTGTTCTGTTCTATTCTATTCAATTCTATTCTATTCCATTCCATTAAATTCTATTCTAAATATTCCAAATTTAGAATAGATCTAAATGTTTTTTGGAATTGGAGCAAAAATTTAGACTTATTGGAACTGGCTCCTGCATGGATGACATTTGTTATCCTCTGCTTTGAAAAAGAGTGAAGGTTCAACTTTGATTGGAGGGATCTTTGTTGTTTTTGTGTTGTTTCTTATTATTCTTTTAATGTTTTTGTCATATTTTTAATTATAAGACATGCTCCAACACTGAAGGTTTTTAAGAAGAGAGAGAGACATTTGTCTGAAATGATATAGGGTCTCCTGCTTGAGCAAGGATTGGACTAAAAGACCTCCAAGGGTCTTTCCAATTCAGTTATTTTGTTGTTCTGTTAGTACCCTGGTATGTACTCATGAATGAGAATGAGAGATTGCTGCAAATTCAGTGAATGCCCATATTGTTTATTGATAATCCTTCTTCATAGTAATAAATTTTGGTTGGGAAAAAACAAAGATGGATAAATCTCATCTCCAATTGGGAGAGAAAATGCAGCAAGCCTCTGTTCTTGGATTGGCATCCCCCATCTCAGCTCAGGGTTGAGGTGGAACGAGAAATCATTGTGTTCCTCTGTGTGCACACTCTAGTTTTGTTGATAGGACAGGAACTAAAGAGGATGGGGAGAAATTTCTTGGTTTTGTTCTGATACTTGGCAGCTGGAAGTGAGCACCATTACCTGCAGTGTGAATTAAGGACCCCAAGTTAGAATTGTAAAGTAAGAAAAGAACATAGAATATAGAATATCTGGGTTGGAAGGGGCTTTGAAGGTTTTCTAGTCTAATCCTCTGCTTAGGCAGGAAACCCTATAACATTTCATTCAAATGACTATTCAGTCTCTTCCACAACTTATGAGGCATCCACAACTTATGAAGCCACTTGATTGTTCTAACGGTCAGGAAATTTCTCCTTAGTTCTAGGTTGGTTCGCACCTTGGTTAGTTTCTATCCATTGCTTCTCGTATTGCCTTCTGGTTCAGATTAAGGGAGAGCATCCTATATTTAGAGAGCGCTGGAATTGTAAACAGTAACTTAGATGGAAATGATCTAATGCAGTGGGGGAAGATTTACTTACGTTGACAATTCTGTTGAAGGACTTTTATGAAAACTTAATAATTGAAACCGAGCCTCCGTTGAAGAGATGATGCCACTAATGTAATAATCTCCTGGCTTGTAAAGATGCTCTGGGTCCACTTTACCTTGCTCCAAAGTCAGAAGACATTTGGCTTTCTGCATCACACCAGATGTCAATGGCCACAGAAACAGCACAAATATAAACAGCAGAAACATAATTTGTATTGTTGATTGAACCTTCTACGTTGCACCTGCTTTTGAACAAAGAATGAGAAGAAGAAATGGAAGAAACTAACATAGACCACACCCAGCATTGCTTTTGAGTTTGATATTTACACCAAGACATCCTGACGTGTTATTCTTACTTTCTATGGAAGTTTGCAGAAACCTCTCTAAGGACTTAACATAAAGGAAGCAAATAAAAGGGTAAATAAATCACTGTGATTTTGATAATTGCAAGGAAGAGAGCAGAATCCCCTCTGAATCTTGACCCAGTCAACAGGCAGGTGCCCAATGGGAGAACTCACAGAGGTCACTCCAAACTTTGAAGATAAGCCAGTGAAGGATATTTGAGAATTTAGCCTCAAATCTTTCTAATAAAACCCTTTTAGAAATGGCATTGATTTTATTTAGATGCACAGAAAGCCCTTGATAATGTAAATTGGCAATTTATGATACAACAGTTAGATTGTATGGATTTTGGTGAGAAGTTTATAAACATGACAAAGGCAATATATTACAAGCAAATGGCAAAAGTAATAGTTAATGGAAACCAGATGGAGAACTCTAACTTCAATTTTTTTACTCCCGGTTCTGTGGGCATGGCTTGGTTGGCATAGCTTGGTGGGCATGGTTATGTAGTCATGTGATTGGGAGAGCATGGCTAGGTGGTCATGTGACTGGGTGAGTGCGGCAATTTAGCAGTTTATTTTGCCAATTTAGTAGTCCATTAAACAATACACAGCAGCCCCCTTTTCTATTCTTCTTTTTAATACTGCATGAAGTTTTTGCTCTAGGTTTTTTTTACTAAGGGGGAGAGGCTGGCGATGCCTGGGGAAAGAAAGACATGCTTTCCACAGATATCCTGGCTATATTTAAAGGGACAGCTAATGTCATTGGTGTTGGGAGATTCATTGGTGAGGTGATAGTGACTTAATGTGCAATGTTCACTGGTGCAGTAACTGGAGTTGGCCAATTGACAGATGTGGTGAGTGTTAACAGAGAACTCATTAGGCTGGAGATGTTAACTGTGCTCAAAACATTGGCTGG